AAATACTCCACTTCCTCGCCTCCACACCAGTGAGTATGACAGGACCACAGATCGCACCCAAGAGCAAGCACAGCTCACCTTGCCCTCCACCAGCCCTTCTGTCCCTGAGGGTAGGATCAGGTTGCATTAAGCCTACCTGGGCCACCAGGATGCCCACAACGATGCCCAGCTGGTTGAGGGTCCCAAAGGCTCCACGAAGGCTGGTGGGCGAGACCTCACTGATGTACATGGGCACAAAGCCAGTGCAGAGACCGCAGAAGAGGCCAATAATGAAGCGGCCAATGATCAGCATTTCCACTGCCTCTGCCGTCTTGGAGAAGGCCATGAGAGTGCCACCAACAAAGGCCAGGATGTTCACCAGTAGCATGGAGTTCCTCCTGCCAGGGTGAAGATGTCAAGACTGAGCTTAAACTGGCAATACATTTGGAAAATCCTTCAGAGAGTGGTAAACCTACCCATGACCCCCTCATCTCAGGGGTGGGAGGAGAATAGAGTAATTCTCATTCAGCTTCTGCCTTGACCTGCAACCCCTTCTCTCTTTCTACAGCTCACACATTCTTGCTTCCCCCCCAGCTGTCACCTCCTCCTCCTACTTCCTTCCTCTCACCTCTTCTTTCTTCCTCCCAACACTTCCTCCCTCCTTCTTTCCCACTGTAGAAAGGAAAAATACCCTAATGGCTTGGATCCCTCTTCCCAACTTACCTGCCAAATCTATTGACAAACAGGCTGACTGAGAAGGAGCCGATCATGCCTCCTACTGAGAAGATAGCCACAGAAAGGGACCACAGAGAGGTCAGAAGCTCTGAGGAGACAACCGTCCCGCTCCGTTCTGACAAGGTTCTGTTGAAGAAACTCCGGATGATCTGCAAGAGCAACCAAGTGGGGACAGAGTTACAATCCAGTGGGAGGCATTTTGCACTGGGGAGATTACTTCTGAGGTCTTCCTTCCATTTTCATGGAGGCAAGAAAGCATGACAGACCCTAAAAGTCCAGTAGGCAGCAACAAGTCATACAAGGGACAGACAAGGGTGCAGAAAGAAGAAGTTTTGTTGAGAAGTTCAGTAGACAGGTAGCAGTATGATGAGGGAAAGATTGCTCCACTCAACAGGGTGGGGGGCCAGTGATGACTAAGGAAAACAGACTTATCTTCTCAATGTTTCTGGATTATGTGAGTCACTGGTCATGCCCTGGGGTTGGGGGGGGGTTGTGTGTGTGAGAGAAAGCAAGAAACATGACCAGAGAATGGAAGAGAACATTTCTGGCAATACCAGAACTCTGGCAAAGGGACAGGCTTTCTGGGATGGAAACAGTTTAAGAGACACAGAAAGTCTCACTGAGCTAAGCCTGAAAGACCACACCATTATGTAGAATAAATCTTTCTTTGTCTCATGGAGACATGACCAGGCTGCATTGCTGGTTTCCCAGGCATCCTCTTTGATAACGAGGGAAAATTCTGCCCAGGCTGAGGGGGTCGTGGCCTCTGAGCAGCTGCCCCCAGCAGATGGCAGCAGGACATCAGCTGGGGAGGACCTCCCCCACCCCCAACGCGTGATGCCACAGCTATTCCCGGAGACAGGGTGGATGTGGTATTAGTGACTCAGTTCCCGAGAGAGAGGAACCATCTTATAGTTACAAGAACAGCACATTTCTCGTTTTCTTCATCTCTTCTTAAGCTAGAGTCATGAGATGATTTGGTCAGAGTGCTCCAGTCATAACCCTTCCACAAGCACTGAATCAATGCTTAACACAAGGAATGAATAAACAAATACAATAAAGACCTGAGATGGTCCCTGAGATAAACTCAACTAGACCAACTGCAATCCCTGCCGACTCTCAACTGTTTTCTGCACGCTGCTCATTACATTGCTGCTGCCACGACTGGTTTATTCTGACTCAGAACACAAGTGGCTCACGTTCTTCCACGCACCAAATACAGACCCACCAGGAAATGGCAGCTGGACTCCTGCCCTAGTCAACCCTCTGCACTCCTCATTAAGAAAATTAATCTCTACTCCCCAAAACTTTGCCCTTCCAGTCCATTGTTGTAGCAGAGAGGGGGCTTTGAATGTCTTCTTTCCTTTATCAGTCAGAATCAGACTGTTAGCTGCTTGAGAGACAGCTCTTCTCCTTTCTACACCTTTGTTTTCTCAGCAGCCCCTCACTCGTATCTTCTCCCCAACCCATTCTCCATCTCACCTTCTCGGGAGCATTGATGACACCAGTGTTGTACCCAAACTGGAGAGACCCAATGGCAGCAATGGAAACAGCATAGATAAGGGGTGCTGTGATTTTCTGTGGAGAGAGAGAAAAAACAATTAGTTAATTTGTTTATTCATGCTTTCTACACAACTTTCTCTCCAGCAGCTGCAGCTCATAGGTGCCACATGCAAGTGTGCCAAAGGCAGGGAAGGGGCTTTTATCCAGCAAGGGTGAGGAACCAGTAACAGAGACCCTGGAAAGGGAGATGCAACTGCACAGCAGGAAAAAATTTCTGTGACTAGTAGGAGAGCCTGTCCGGACCTCCCCTTTATTGTCTCCTGACCTTCCTCAACTCTTCTCAGCTCATTAGTAATGAATACACTGGCTGCATTAGTGGCTGTTATTTTGGGTTGATCTGCTTTACAGAAAAGCTTTTGCTGATCTCTGGCATGTCATGAAACAAGGGTCTAACTCTTCCCCATGCCAACTGACAAGTTCCCAGACATGGAATCTCAGATCTGCCCATGAGCCATGCTGGCAGTCACTCCCAACAGTGAAAACATGCTCTCTTCAGCAACAGACTTGCTTTTCCCAGGCTAGAGCTTCCCAACCCCGCTCCGGGGCACCTGGCTCAGCCTCGCAGAGGCGGCGGCAGCGCTGCCAACCTTTCCGTTTATTTTGCTCGATGCTGTGGCAATACTCGTAATTTAAATGAAGCACAGTCCCTGGGATTTGAGCATGTGTGAATCTCTATTTATTAAATTACAATTAAAAAAACTGCTGAGCCCTCAGAGCCATAAGGGAAGCTTGAAGGTCCAACCTCACAAGTCCCACAGACTGAGAAATTTGAGTGTCAGCGAAAAGCATCTGACATTTTCTACATTTTTAAAGCTTGTGGCATTTATGCCAGCTGTGTTAGGGAGGTGTGTGGGAGCAGGTGACTCAGGAGTTTGGCACTGAGACAGCCAGTGCTTGAGTTGGCACAATTTGTTAAGATCATGTTTTTGTCTCAGGAAGAACTAGAAGCTTTTCCAAAAATATTACCAGCTCCTTTTCCAAGGCTTTCCAATTACTATGCTGAGACTGGCAAGGGAGAGAAAAATACTTCGTGGGGCCTACTGTCACAGCTCTTCCAGTCTCTCGCTTTCCAGCTCAGCTCAAGGAGCAAGGGTTCCCAAGGCTGCCCCAAATTTTTGCCAATAAGCATCTGCCAGTGCTCACACCGCCTTCACCAGCCTTTCAAGCCAAGCATGTAGGTGCTTCTGACCTGCACCACCCTCACACCAGTCAGGCCCCAGTAAACAGAAACTGGGGAAATTACTCTCAGGCATGATTTCCCCCACCTACATCACAAACGTCTCAGGCTGAGCTCTCTTCCTGCCGAGGTCAGCGATGGAGACAAAGGGGATATAGTCATTTTCTTGCCTTATCTTGGGGCAGATGATTCCCCGAGGTACCCTTCACACCTGACGGCACCCTAGGTGGTCCAGCCCTTCTCCTCCCTGCCACCCTCACGTCTGCCACGAGGAAATCCAACACAGACCACAGAGACACAGCTCTGCCAAAGCAGCTGGATGCCAGCAGAAGGGCACTAAGACACCCAAGCGCCCTCGGGACTCCCGGCCAGGCCGTGCCCAGCCAGCGAGCACCGCAGAGCCGCGGACAAAAGCGCAGCTCTCCGCGTTTCCACCCCGTGACTCGACACAAGAGCATCCTTCCTTCCTCCCGAGCGCTGCTTTGTCACGGCCGGCCTCTTCCTCGGGGTGCGGCAGGGACCACCGGGCACCCGCTGTGCGGGCACCCCTTGGCCACCTGGCACAGCAGCTGTGAGGCTGGTTCTGTCCTTTCCACGCTCCCTTCTCGCGGCTGCCCCCCACCACGGACATCCCA